AACGAAACGGTGTCATAATAAACAGATGTGAGTCACGTTACTCACGAGTAGTCAGAAAAAAGGAAAGTTCGGAATCTACAAGGATTATAAACAAAAGATCATGGAGCAATCCCGAAGTGACCCAAGTGAACGCACATTCAATTCCAAACACTGTTCTCTCGCAGCTATTTACAAGGTATTAACCTTAAAGGCCCCTATCCATCTCAAGTAGTTAGAGAATGAATTTATTTAGGCCTTGACGGTGTCAACCGACCGAATACTGAGACAAAAGTATTTTGAAAAGTCAAAACGGCAGGCTTGTATGCTGACTATGTCCTACTAGCCGCTTTCTATTTCGTCCTAAATGAAGCTAGGTGAAATGCCACAACAGCGTCCCAGAAAATCAACTCCTAACGACCTGGAGTGTGGTGGTGTGGAGCTTGTCTTTAATTTGATACAAATTTCCTAGCATCACATTTTTAGGTGATAGTTTTCGCCGCCGCTTTCCAGTCACTATGGAGACCCACTTGTCCAAACATTACTTCATATCGATCAGTGTTAACATCAAACAATATGCAAACAAGCAGCTTAAGTATAACCCCATGAGTTCAATCGGTAGTCATCGACTTATCACTGTACAAGTTTTTCAGCCTCTTTGAGACCACACCTTCCGTACTCATTGAGTCCCACTTTTTCCGGTGTGAAAATTTTGAACGAACTGTAATCGGAATCTGCATCAAAACATATCGAAAATTAAAGAGATTTTGAACACGAATCACTCGATATGGAGAGGCTGATCTTCCATTCCTCTCGCCTCATCGGTCACCAATCGAAAAAATAATCTCGGCCTTAACATGGCCAAAGAAGGTCTTAAGGTTGTGGTGCGTCCTTCTTGTTTGTCTGGAGGCTTCTGTGTAGTGCTATAATTCGTGTGCCTTATGTGGCCGCTGACTTCGAAGCTGGTCCTGGCCGCTCCATTTTATTTGCAAATTTTTCCATCGTGCTTCTCGGCCAATGAGCTCTGGCAGCCCTCGCGTTTTACCTTGTAAGTACAAACTCAGCGATCGCAATAAGTTTGTTTTCATGATTCCCCATTGCACATTAATGCAGCTAACACTTTTGATTTTCAGCGACGTTCGTCAGACGCTCGCGTCCACAACGCCACTGAAGTAAGCGTTCACTGGCTTTGGTAAACGTGTTAGGCCTCGTCACATCTTCTAAACCAACTTGAGGTCTCAGAAAGACTTATTTGCTGTTGCCGATATCCAATGCTAAACAGTCTGTTTGTATACTACCAATCATTTTGGAAGAGATTCACGCTAAATGCACCAGGCAGGGGTGCACACCAAGTGTATAAATGGTGTAGATTGGCACATGCTTTTCATGATGAAACTTTAAGCGCGTCGGCCTTAAAGGCGTACAAACGCAAAAAAAATTGTAACACCAGAATCACCCGCTTGCACTTGCTGATATCACCAGTGTGTACTTGAAGCCAACACACACGACCTCTTCACAGCGATCAACACTCTCTGAAAGATGTTAAAATTACACCATCAAGGAAGTTAGTTCAATTCTGAAACACTTATTCAGTCTTTGAAAATATCATCACGTACATACAAACGCAAAAAAAATTGTAACACCAGAATCACCCGCTTGCACTTGCTGATATCACCAGTGTGTACTTGAAGCCAACACACACGACCTCTTCACAGCGATCAACACTCTCTGAAAGATGTTAAAATTACACCATCAAGGAAGTTAGTTCAATTCTGAAACACTTATTCAGTCTTTGAAAATATCATCACGACCAGTAAAAATATTTAGAACAAGAAAACGCTAAATCAACAAAGGCGGTCATAGGGCAGAGACCAGTGTATACTGTCGTGAGCTTCCGTTCAGTTCCTAACTCTCCCAGTCTCTTAGCAGCTACCTAAGGAAGCTAAATAAACTGCGAACACCCAGTAATGCCCGTCGTTCTTTTCAAAATTAGACACAAGCGAAGCATGCCAAGACTATACTTAGCCCAGTTTTTCATATGTACCAGGTCATATGCTTAGATAACCCGATCGTGACTCATCTCATATGCTTTCCGCAAGCTAGGAATTAAGCCTATCGTTATTAGTCGGTTAAAAATTGGTGCAGTCATCCGAGCACGCTGACCGACGGAACAACGGATTTCTCTAAAGTCACAGTTTAAACCAGGGAATCGTTTGCACAATATTTTAACTTTTGCCGGTATTCATTCGGTATTTTTAAATCCCCATAAATAGTAGCAGTTTGTCTAACACTTGTTTTTTGGTACTCAAAGGATACGTTTGGCATGCACTTTATATATTTATGGATGTCCCAGCTCTGCCGGATGCACTCAAGAAGACGATGGGGTGTTTTTTGGAGAAGCTGACTTCTTCATTTATCTTCTACTGCATTGGATTTGAAGATACTTTGAAAAATTACATAAACGGTAGTTAGCTTTGTTCGCGCAAATTCAAAATGTGGCGGCCACGAGCGAACTTTGCAGTAAATGTATCTGTCGTCCCAAGGGGCGTGTCATCAGACAAAGTTAGAGCATTCGTCGCAGCAAGTAACATTCGTGGCTTTTTCTATACGGGCAGCACACGCCGTATCGGGTGCGAGAAAACGCTCCGTCTGCACCGATAAAACGCGCCTTTGATAATACTATGTAAAAATTGGTGAGAGATATGTCATAAATTCAGTGGATTGGGACGGTATTGCCTGCGAATTTTACAAACCCGTTCGGGAAGAAGAGACCAGGTAAATTATGAGCAAGCCATCGGACTAGACATGGCAGCCACGGTGCAACCGTTCCGTCGTTCGGAAGCGAACATCTTGGATGAATCATTCGAGCTTTTTAGAGTAGTGGAGACCGGCATAGGAATGTGGTAAAGTAAGGCCAGCGTAGATCAAGGATGTTACTGGTCACATCGAAGGCATACGGTGGTTTGATACTGACATTCAAATGGGACATTAGGATAGACCTATCTAGATTAATGAGGGAAGGACTGGGGCATAAGTAAGACTGTGATCCAAGGTAACAAACAGTCAAACTGGTTACAGTTTATAACTACCGTAGCGGGTGAGGTGACTACCCAATTTTAAAAACGATAATCGACGTTGAGATGGACAAGGCAGGGAATGGAAGTATACGTCTGACGCAAACGCTTGTGTTTATATGGGAATATAAAGAACGGTACTAGCTAAATAGCGCATTTCATTACCATTTGCTCAGTCGTCCACGAAACTTGGAAGGAAGTGCAGGTATTTGGGTGGAACATTTTCAAAATCTTAGTTGAAACGTACGTGATATCGTAGTCAGCTGGCGTAAGAGAGGATGGTTAGCACGCAAAAATTTCAGGGGTGGTGATATTGTTTATTTGAGCGTGCCAGTGAAATATGAGGTTAGAGCGCTATCACAATTGTTTTAGAATCGTCCAGAAATGCACAATCTGGAATAATGAGGGCGATTTAAGGGGAAGACAAGTTAAAATTTGGGAGCCACTTTATCGTCCACTGTTTTGATATCTGTGATTTCCCACGTTTTATCTATCCTTATTTGTAACCTCCGCTCCACCGTTGTGTTTGGTGCGTGCGTATGAACTGGCTTTCGTTTGTCCCTACTACTTTTGTCAATCAGTCTTGACCTGATTCAGCTATTTTTGGATGACTTCATGCAAGTGTGACTGTCTCACATGCGAGTCTGTTTGCACATTTGGTTTGTACTTTCATAGTACAAGTGGGCCTTTTGTTGTGGAAAAGTATCTACTGTCGACGTTTTTTACTGTATGAACCCATGCAAATAATAAAATGATGCTTATTGCCACCTTGCTGGTTGTATGCCCTCAGACCTGATCATACCGTTACAGTCAGAATAAAGGACTGACTAACGGGAATTGTGGGTAGAGGATGTTCCGAAAAAAGACAGCATCAGAGGCGATGAGCATCATTCGATGCATACGTGGTTTACACAAAATTGACAGGGACGGGGAAGTACAGTTATCTTGCTTTTTTGAACGGAACATCGAGCAAAATCAGGTCGTTAGGATTCGAAGGTGGTTGGCGAAATCAAACAAGGGGGCAAAACAAGAGGCGTTCCTGCCTGACATGTTACAAGGGAAGTGTAAAAAGTGAAAAACGATGGACCGAAATATTAGATCTGGTAAACCAGTAGAGCTGGTGTCATCCAGCCATTTAAACTAGACCTGGCGCCGCAGGACCTTGGGCCATGTTCACAAAGTGCGTAAGTGGAGATGGTGAAGTGGATGGATTAGCGAAGTGGATAAATGGTTAAATGAATCTCAGAAACGAGGTGTACAGTAAAACTGTAGAGACCCGCTGGTACCCGTGTGGTGTGGTCCGGTATGGTAGTTTCTTGGAAGAGTGAGGTGGTGACGACACACGACCCGGAACGCGAACGGTATAAAAATGTTGATTTTGTGTTGAGCACAGACCGACGGTCCTTAATTCTGTCCACGTACTCGTCACCCATGGTCAGGCAAAATTCCGGGTTCGATAGTTATTTCCTTTTTGAATATTTTTCTACGCAGAATTTTTCGCCTGTTTTGAACCTTTTTTTAGAAGCTGCACGGGAGGTATTTTTTCTTGATGTTATATCGTTTTTACCTAATTCACATTCATCAGGCTTCAATAAGGTTTACACTACTAGCTAAACAGTAAACGTATGAATAGTACCCTACATCTAATGGAGTCGTTTATGGTGGTGTTTCTTGTTTTTCAAAGTTAAATATCACAAAATTTTCTCAGCCCAATAGTGTATAGTCCCGGTTTTATTTGGCGCATGCTGATTACTGTGAAATTCACACCGACCCTGGTGAGCAACAAATCGGGTGAAGACGTTTTATTCCACCTTACCTAAATGAACCTGAGAAGATACACCACCAGACAATCTGAGTCTAGTGACCTTTGGCTTCCGATCCGTGTGCGGACCTACTGAATTTATTGAACTGGATTGTTTGAATTCTCAAGTCCAAAACCCGGCGGGCGGGGTTTTGTGTTGACGGTTGCACACCTCGATGGCTTCCGGTGGTGAGCGGCCCGCTGTTAGTGCTGATGTGGGGGAAATTCAAAAGGGGGACGAAAACCCAGTTTTTTCCAAACCACCTGAGTGTGAGTTTTTTGCGTTTGCTTCAAACTAACGTTATATGGTCTCCTGGTCGTGGGCGATTTTCCATGAGCTTGTGAACAGCTTTCAAAACTGAAGTTAACAATGAAGGGACCCATTCCAGGGAAATATCTTTGATAGACCAGTTAAATTGTCGGCGAGGTGAATAAGTGCAGCTAGCTGGAGGATCACCATGTGGTTCTGGATCGTGATTTAAGCAAAATCTGGGCAAACCGGTAATGTTTTAGTTTCGGCGTTTCAGTGCGTGCGTCAATTCCAAGTCAATTTCGAGTTCGAGTTTGTCTTGTTCAAAAAGAAATCCGGGTGACTTAGGTTGGCTTCTTGTACGAACCCCCAGTCTTATCGCTCCATACTCACTCGTAGATACTGTCACTCATTTTAAATTGCGTTTGGCTTGTTTTTGAGTTCAGCCCCAGTGACATGTATTTGTGATGCACGGGTTTACGTCTGGCTGCAGCTTCCATTCGTTTCGGCCTTCATTGTGAGCAAAGGCGTCAGCAACGCGAGAATCGCAATAATACGTGCAGCTACTCATCATCATCATCATCGACAGCATGACATCAGTGTTCAACACCGATGCTTCACAGCCGTACAACCATGACTTATTTGAAAGCCTTATTGTAAAGAAAAGAATAAAGGTGGATGGGGGAGGGACTTAGCGCTAGCTTAACACAATCATTCCGAGGTGCCTACACCTCCA